GAGAATGAAAGAAAGAGAAAGAAAGAAAGAAAGAAAGAAAGAAAGAAGAAAGAAAGAAAGAAAGAAAGAAAGAAAGAAAGAAAGAAAGAAAGAAAGAAAGAAAGAAAGAAAGAAAGAAAGAAAGGAAGGGGAGGGAAGGAGAGAAAGAAGAGAGAAAGGGAGAAAGAGGGAGGGATGAGAAAGAATGCAAGAAAGAAAAGAATGGGAAGAAAGGAAAGAAAGAGGAGGGGGAGGAGGAGAAGGGAAGGAGAGAGGGAGAGAGAGAACATACGACTTTGGCAAGTTTAAAAACTGTTGTTTTTTTCTTTCTACTTTTAACCATCACAACTAAGGCCAAGAGAAACCATCTGCTTCGTTTCTGAACATCCCGCCGAAGAAAACAGGGGCTGCAAGACGGGTGCAAAAAATGAAATATCCACTCCAGTCAGTTACAAAAGATAAGGAAAGGAAAGAAAAGAAAAGAAGGAAAGAAAACGGGGTGCAAGAACGAACTAGGAGAATTGGGGTTTTTTTTTAAAAAAAAAAAAACCAAAGAAACGAAAGAAAACAAAACTGAAAGAAACACTCAACGCGCAGAAAGAAAACCAGCGAATCCTGAGAACAGCAGAGATGATTTTTAAGTCCAGCCTCCGGCCCCCCCCCCCCCCCCCCAGTGAGAGGGTGAGAGAGAGAGAGAGAGAGACACACACACGAGGGAGGAGGCTGCTCCCTGACACACACACCCTCCCCACTGTCCTTCTTCCTTTTGGCAATCCTTTTGTTTTGTTTTGTTTTGTCCAGTAAAATCCAACTGCAGCAGCAGCAGCAGCAGCAGGCCAGGCGGGATGGCTGGCTGTCCTTTGATGTGTCTCTGGAGAATCAAAGCGAGGAGGGAAGGAGGGCAGGCCCCTCCCTCCTCAGACATACCATTCATTGAAGTTGGGGGGCAGACCTGGGTTGGGGTTGTTGGCCGTCTGAACAGTGGAGGAGGAAGAAGAAGAAGGGGCAGCTTTCCCGGAGTCCTTAGTGGGGTCAGCAACGAGGGCTGGGGGCGTGGAGGATTCATAGCCAGAACTGGCTGCAGGGGACGATTCGGAGCTCTGCGTTTCGTGGACCTGAAAAGGAAAGAGAGAGACCGAGAGAGAGTCAGAAAAGAGAGAGACAGACAGACAGACAGACAGAAACAGAGAGAGAGAGACACAGAGGGAGTCAGAAAGAGAGAAAGATGGAGAGACACAGAGACACAGAGACACACACACAGAGAGAGAGAGAGGGAGTCAGAAAGAGAGAAAGACAGAGAGACAGAGAATCTGTTTATTTATTTCATCGATACCTTTGGCTGCCCGTCTCATGGGCAGCTGGCAGTGCAAACCAGATAAAAACAGAACCAATAATTATAAAGAGAAGTAGATAAAGGGAGCAGCCCAAGAACACATTCACACATACCTCCCCATTGGGAGGAGAGAGAGGGGGAGAGAGAAGGAGAGAGAAAAAGAGAGAAAGAAGAGGGGACAAGCTTAAAGCAACCCTCGGCCCCCTTCAATAGATTTTTGAAGCAAACCAGCAAAAATAAAAAAGACCCCCCAAAATCTAGAATGAATCAAAACAATAAAGGATCCTAGAGGGAAAAAATTGTATTTGTGTTTGTATGTATAAGAGACAGACAGACAGACAGACAGACAGACAGACAGACAGACAGACAGACAGGAGCGGGGATAAACTGAAACCAAACTCCAATTCAAAAGATTTTTGACCTGAATCAGAGAAAGAAAGAAAAAAGGCCCCCAGCCCAAATTAAATTCAGTATGAACCAAAACAATATACGGGATTCTGGAGGAAAAAAATTGACCTGCCCTGCAAAAAAACAACACACCCCAAGGCCTCCAGCAGATCTGCAGGGTGACCACTCCCAGGCATTACCCTTGACTGATACTCAGGAGTAAGGCAAATGACCTTGGAAGGGATTTATATTTCAGAAGCTTACATCCATGCAGGAGAAAATGCAGCTACTAACTCCTGCTTCTGGACATCCAACAGAAAGTGTGGATTTTAAAAAAAGATTATATGCATAGATGAGATAGATAAACCAGGGAGCAGTCCGTGAAGGTGAAATGTGTTGCAGCCAAAGGCAAAATAAAACAGGAATTTAAATCAAACAGGAAAATTCCTAGTCTGGCCAGAGTCTCAGACTGCCTTTATTTTTATTAAAAAAAAAAAAAAAAAACCAGTAGAATAATAAAAGTTTGCAAAGTTCTTTTTAGGTTCCTTTCTCTGACCCGAATGCTTATCTCAAAGGCCAAAGTACAGGCAGCCCTGGACTACCCAACAGCCCATTTAGTGGCCATTCAAAGTTACAACAGCCCTAAGAAAAATAACTTGTGTTTTTCACACATCCCTGTGGTCAAAATTCAGGCACTTGTGGCCACTGACTCATAATTACGACAGTGGCAGTGTCCCTTCGTTGACCTTCCACCAGGCAAAATCTACGGGGAAACCAGATTAATTGAACAGCCATGTGACTAACCTAAGAATGGCTGCAACTCGCTTAACGACAGGGTCAAAGAGAGTCAGAAAATGGGACAAAAGCCGCTTAAGTAATATCTCACATAGCAGAGATATTATGTGGAGCGCAATTGTGGTCATAACAGGAGGACTATCTGCATACAAGTGTCCATGGATTCTGTATTGTGCTGAAAGGAGTTGTTGTTATATAAGTAATAATAGCTAAAAATAAATTAAGGCACCTAGAAGACCATAATATGTAGTATTAGCAGACTAAAATAAATTAAGGCACCTAGAAGACCATAATATGTAGAAATAAACAACTGTTTGGGCACAGAGACATACCAGTAATAAAATACATTAACTATGTTGTACTCTTTGTATAAATTATTTGTATTGGCATGCTACTAAGTTGTAGAGTGTAACTGTATACACAAACACCCATGCAATCTGCTTTCATGTATAAATAGATTTCTGTTCAGGAAGAATGAGAAAGAGAGAGCACTTGTGTGCAATTACACACCCACAAACACACACGGAAGATGAAGTGGGATATCTTTTACGATTCTGCAAGAATTATTATTATTATTTTTTGTTTAATTCTACACAATCAAAACCCAAAGTGACACATAAAAAGACGGGAGCACCAAAATTTTCACGCATTGTTACGATCAGAACGGTTACCTTCATATGTTTCCTTAAGGAACTGGGGTGAGTGTAAGATTTATCGCAAACTTTGCACACGTAAGGCTTGTCCGAGGTATGGACGTGCATGTGTTTCTTTCGGTCGCTGCTGTTCGCAAAACGCCGGTCGCAGCCTTCAAATTCGCACTTGAAGGGTTTCTCTCCTGCAGATGGACAGGAACAAGGGGGGGGGGGAGATCAGAGGGGGGGCAACTTTCACACTTTGCTCCTTGCCTGTTTCTCTCTCTCTCTATTTCTCTCTCTCTCTCTCTCTCTCTAACTTCAATTCCTGAATCATTTTTGCTTTCTATTTTTTCCCATTCTGCTTTTTTTTCCAGGAATACACTGGAAGGAGGGGGGGAGGGAGAGAAAAAGAGAAAAGAGGGAGGAGGACGAGAGAGAAGAAGGAGAGAGGAAGGAAGGAAGGAAAAAAGAGAGAAGAGGAAGGAAGGGAAGAAGGAAGAGATGGAGGAAGGAAGGAAGGAGGGAGGAAGGAAGAAAGGAGAGAAGGCGGAAAGAAAAGAAGGGAAAAGGGAAGGAAAGAAGGAAGGAGGAAGGAAGGAAGGAAGGAAGGAAGGAAGGAAGGAAGGAAGGAAGGAAGGAAGGTCAAATTGGGTTGTTGACAATTAAATGGCCATTGTGCCTTTAATCCTGGGGTTATCACTTGCAACCAGCCAGTCTTGGAAAAGATTAAGAAACTGACTTTGGAGCGATTTATGAATTATAAACAGAAGAGAAAAAGAAATAGAAATGGCCAGCCTTTATTTCTGGAGCGACTCAGGGGAGAATTCCAGAAAATGCTAGAACATAACATTATTGGCTGCTTCCAATTTAATTTTCTTTTTCTTTTAGTGGAACAAAAGCCCTTCCCCCCCCCCCCCCCCCCAAAAAAAAAAAAAAAGCAGGGAGAAAGGAAAAAAAAGAATACTCGGAGCAAAAAAGTATCACTGATTTAATTAGAAGATGTGCCAATCAAGTCATTAAAAGAGAGCGGAAGTGAGAGAAAATGAGATTTCATTTGCATCTCTATGGTTCGCTTAGCCGACTGTCTGAACAAGTCGCTTTCAAAAAAAAAAAAAAGCAAACCCCACACACCCCCCATGAATGCGCCCCCCCCCCCCTTGGACTCAAAGGACCCCCCCCCCCCCCCAATCAGGAGGGGGGGAGGCGGAGAGCAACGAGACGGGAAAGCTAAGGAGGCCGAAAGAAGAAAGTTTCCGGAATTTCATTTGGGAAGGAAACAAAAATACCCCGCTTGAAAACAAAATCACCCACACCCACGTAGGTTGAAAAAAATAAAATAAAATAAAATAAACCGGCAGTTCCGGATTGAAATTGACAAAACAAATCGGCTGCCGGCGCTGAAATTGGCCAGCCTGGAGGATTTAAAAAAAAAAAAAAAGCATTTCAGTCCCGATTTCAACAATCCGGAGTGAAAACAAGCCCAAATACACCCCGTGGTTTCTCTGCGGTTTCTTTCCCACCCACCCCCGGCCCCATTTCTTCTTCCCTCGCCCCTCTCTGGCCCCC